AAAAGAAATTGCATAAAGGAAATTACATAAAGAGTTGACATAAAGGAGGGCACAAAAAGGAAAAGACTAACATACTCAGGTTCAAAAACATGCATTAATCAGTATTTTTTAAGATTTACTTTTTTATTTGAAAGGCAGAGTGACACAGGAGAGAAAGAGAGCAAGAGAGCAAGAGAGAGATCTCCCATCCACTAATTCATGCCCCAGATGGCCGCAACAGCTAGGTCTGGGCCAGGCCAAAGCCAGGAGTCAGGACCTGGTCTACCACATGGGTGACAAGAGACCCAAGTACTTGGGCTATCTTCTTCTGCCTTTTCAGGCATTAGCAGGAAGCTGGAACAGAAGTGGTATAGTTAAGACTCAAACCAGCATTGTGATATGGGATGCCAGCATCACAAGTACTAGCTTAAACCCTTTGTGCCACAATGCCAGCCCATATCATTTATAAAGTTTGATTATAAATTGTGTTACTCTTGGGGAATCCTATGTAAATTCTAGGATTAAGTGGAGACAGAATCTATTTTTACATGCAGTAATTTCATTATAGCCAAATAACCACCATAATCATTCACATCTATTTGAGTCCCTTTTAGGAAATTAATGTAGACAGACCTGGTTTTATTATAAACTACTTTACAGAGAGGGTAAATCACTTCTTCCTAATGGTGAAATTAGAAGATTAAATAGAACTAATAAATGTTGCATCATTGGAATCCCATTTCACTTCACTACTTGTCCTGTTCTGTGCAATTGTTTCATTAAGGTTGCCCTGTCTGTCCCATTGGGTTTGAAGTATTTTGTTTGATACTTCTGGTGATGTGACTTGTTTTGAGTAACAAATTGAAATGATTCAATGAAATTATCAGTCAAAATAGTTCTTTCATTTTATGACAAATTTCTTTCAAAGTCAAAGATGGGATATATATTTTGTACTGAATCATCAGTGAGATTTTTCAAGTGTCAGACACTCAGTGGAATGTTACTTTTACAACATTGATCCAGAATCAAGCCAAATACACTCTAAGTCTTTGAATATTTAAAAGACTAACTCAAATATGATGTTTGTATAACTTATCATTCAACTTCTGAGATAGACATTTTTATATGCTCTGTTTAAAATTATAATCATAAGCCATGGAAACCAATAAAAGTATAGCAGACATGATGGAGGAGTTTGGAAAACATCATGCTGAGTGAATTAAGCCAGTCCCAAAGGGACAAATACCATATGTTCTCCCTGATTGGCGACAACTAACTGAGCACCAAAGGGGAAACTTGTTGAAGTGAAATGGACACTATGAGAAACAGTGACTTGATCAGCTCTTGTCCTGATGGTTGATGTACAATGTAATACTTTATCCATTTTAGTATTTTTTTTTTGTTCTAGTACCATTGCTTGAACTCTGTAATTAACACACAATTATTCTTAGGTGTTTAAATTTTAACTGAAAAGTGATCCCTGTTAGGAATTTGGAAAACATTATGTTGAGTGAAATAAGCCAATCCCAAAGGGACAAATACCACTTGTTCTCCTTGATAGGTGACAACTAACTGAGCACCAAAAAGGAAACCTGTTAAAGTGAAATGAACACTATGTGAAACGGTGACTTGATCAGCCCTCACCCTGACTGTTGATGAGCAGCTTAATATGTTATCCCTCTTAGTATTTTTTTTGTTTATTCTACTTAATACTTTTGGTTGAATACTGTAATCAATACACAATTCTTCTTAAGTGCTGAAACTTAACTGAAAAGTGATCGCTGTTAAATATAAGAGTGGGAATAAGAGAGGGAAGAGATGTGCAATTCGGGACATGCTCAAGCTGACTTACCTCAAATGGTAGACTTAGAAACATACCAGGGGATTCCAATTCAATCCCATCAAGGTGGCATGTAACAATGCCATCTCACTAGTCCCAGTGATTAATTTCTGTTCACAATTGATCATAATGATAGGACTAAGAACCAAAGGGATCACATAAACAAGAATAGTGTCTGCAAATACTAGCTGATAGAATAAAAAAGGGAGAGAACAATCCAACATGGGAAGTGAGATACACAGCAGACCCATAGAATGGCAGATGTCCTAAACAGCACTCTGGCCTCAGAATCAGCCCTTAAGGCATGCGGATCCGGCTGAAATGCCCATGAGAGTATTTCAGGCATGGAAAGCCAAGACACTCTGGGGTAAAAAAAAAACCTAAATGAAAGATCTCCACGAGTGAGATCCCAGTGGAAAGAATGGGTCATCAAGGAAGGAGGTACCTTTCTCTGAAGGGAGGAGAGAACTTCCACTTTGACCATGGCCTTGTCTAAATATGATCAGAGTCAGTGAACTCAGGGGGCTTCCATAGCCTTGGCAGGTCATGACAAGAGCCTAGGGTGATTACTGAGGCCATAAACAAGAGTGTCAATTTGTTAAGTCAACAACAGGAGTCACTGTGCACTTACTCCTCATGTAGGATCTCTGTCCTTAATGTGCTGTACATTGGGATTTAATGCTATAACTAGTACTCAAACAGTATTTTTCACTTTATGTTTCTGTGTGGTAGCAAACTGTTGAAATCTTTACTTAATGTATGCTAAACCGATCTTCTGTATATAAAGAGAATCGAAAATTAATCTTGATGTGAATGGATGGGGAGAGGGAGTGGATAAGGGGAGGGTTGTGGGTTGGAGGGACGTTATGGGGGGGGAAGCCATTGTAATCCATATTCTGTACTTTGGGAATTTATATTCATTAAATAAAAGTTTAAAAAAAAGAAATAGTTAAGTTACAATGGGTTGTTTGTTCTGACTGTCAGTATATTTAGGATCAACAGCTTTGGTAATAAGATATTTAACACTAAGTCAAGCATAATTTCAACATTATGCAAAACTCAGCTAAAGACAAATTTTACTTTACCATATATTAACCATAGTGTGAATTTGATTAAATTGTCTTAATATTCAGTTGACCATAAAGTAAGCTAATGTTGAGCAGACATATTGGCCTTAATAGTGATATCTTTTGTTTCATTTTGAAAAATATTACTGTAACTTTTGACACATGTTATCATTTGTAGTTTCTAATTTAATATTAGTTGATTTTGGCCGGCACCGCGGCTCACTAGGCTAATCCTCCACCTTGCAGCGCCGGCACACCGGGTTCTAGTCCTGGTCGGGGCGCCGGATTCTGTCCCGGTTGCTCCTCTTCCAGGCCAGCTCTGTGCTGTGGCCCAGGAGTGCAGTGAAGGATGGCCCAAATGCTTGGGCCCTGCACCCCATGGAAGACCAGGAGAAGCACCTGGCTCCTGGTTTCGGATCAGTGCGATGTGCTGGCCGCAGCTCACTGGCCGCGGCGGCCATTGGAGGGTGAACCAACGGCAAAGGAAGACCTTTCTCTCTGTCTCTCTCTCTCACTGTCCACTTTGCCTCTCTGCCTGTCAAAAAAAAAATATTAGTTGATTTTAACATTATTCACTCATTCAACATTTCAGTAAAAATTATTGAATGCCTGTTAAGTACTAGGAACTATTCTTGTTCTAGAAATAAAAAGATGGATAAGAAGCTTTCCAGTGTATTATATTCTGTGGAATACAGAAAAATAAGTGGTTAGTTGAGCAACGGGAAGTAGCATGCATGCTAAGCACACAGGGTGTGCAATATTGAAGAAGCACTAGAAGAAGGATAGACCTATTGGCCTATCAGTTAAGATGCCAGTTAGGACAGATGTGTCCATATCACAATGCCTGGGTTCAATGCCTAACTCAGGCTTCTGACTCCAGCTTCTTGCTAATGTAGGCCGATAGTTCATGAAAGAGAATGCATGCATGAAAGAATTTGGAAGATTTAGAGATCTACAAATAGTTCAGTACAGATGAAATACAGGATATGTTGGGGAGAGTAGGTAGAGGTGAGGACTAGACCTCACTAAGGCTAAGGACATGTACTTTTTCATTCAGTTCACTGGGATTTTAATCCTACAAAATCCCCTTATTCACTGGTTGGTTATTTAACTGTTCCATTTCCTTAAGTGTAAAATGTAAATGTTGTATAGTAATATCTCAATAAATTGTAGCAACCATTGTTAAGAATGTCATAGTTCATTCTCTAAACATAAAGATCTACTGGATTATTTTAACTAAATAATGACATGACTGAATTTCTGTTTTACAAGTAGAAGGTAGTTAGCACTGTGGAGAGAATTAAGTCAGGAATTCAAATTAAGAGTATGGACAAAATACTGTTTGCAGTCAGTTTAGGCTGCTGTAATAAATTATTATAGAATGGGTGGCTCAAGCAGCAAGCATTAAGCTTTCACAGTTGATAGAAAGTGGGAAGTCCATGCCAAGGTGCCCACATACTCAGTGTCTGGTGAGGGCCCTCTTCCTGGTTTTCAGAGGCTACCTTCTTGTAGCCTCACATGGTGAAAAGACCACTCTGTTCTTTTATGTCTCTTTTTATAAGGGCACTAGTCTCCTTCATGAGTACTCCACCCTCATGACTTCATTACCTCCAGAAAGGCCACCTCTAAACACCACCACGCTGGGGCTGAGAGCCTCAACCTATGACTTTTGGAGAAACACGAACATTCAGCCCGTGGTACATGAGTCATACTGACTTAAGACAGTTGCTATGAGGGTGAAACAGTAGTATTTTGGAGAGGTTTGGAAGTGAAATGAATAGGAGTTGGTAACCCATTCATAGGTAGGTGAGGGAAAGGAGTTGTGCAAGAACACTATCTTTGACAAATAGATCCAACAGGAAAAGCCTGCACAGACAGTATTCACATTTTTAAATGTTACATTAAATAATAGTTTATTAAAATTAGCACAAAAGTGAATATCCAACCTATTTATGAATATGAATGATAGTTAAGGGCAAGAGCTTGAAAATGCTCAATTTTGAATCATGTGTCAGACCTGACACAAAAAGATAATGTTAACTCTTAATTCTTTTACTTACAGCAAACCAAAAGTATACTACATGCAAAATGTGCTTTGTCTCTATTTCTTCCAGGGCCCCCAAGGACCAAGAGGTCAACCAGGGCCTCCAGTGAGTTTCTTTACATTGATATCTGCTTACCATTGATGTTGATAGCTCTGCCTGACTTGAGATAAAGAATTAGTAAATTTGTTTTATTTGTTGTGTTACAGGGTCCACCTGGAGCACCAGGCCCTAGAGTAAGTTTTCTTTGTTTGGTTTTATTTTGTTTTATTTTAGAATTTCATATTAACATTTTAAAAGTTTTTCTGTTAATACCTTGTTAGGGATGTTCCTCTTGTGTACCTCTGTTCTTCATGCTAATTTGATGAAAACCCAGTTCAACCACACTAATTTTAAGTCTCATTCTTCTTACCTAAAAAGTGGAGATAATATCTCTTACCTTCTCAAGTGGTTTTGAGCATTAAATAAAAACATTCAGCACAGTGTATTACAACATCATAAGTGCCAAAAAAAAAAAAAATGCTAACTCCCTCCATTTCTTCCTATATCTAGGTCTTAGCTCTCATTCTAAAAAATGTTCTTTTTTACCAACCAGAATTACTCATTTTCTAGGTTTTATTTGAATCCTTCCTGGTTGCTCCTGGCTGTTGAAGCCCTCAGCTTCTCATGTATTTGCTGTCTGACAGCTCAGCCTTGCCACCCTTATCTGTGAGGCAGAGCCTCTGCTGCTTCAGCTGTGACTTCTCAGCTGGGTTTCCCTCGTTTCCTCTCTGCTTGAGAAATATCTTTGTTTTCCTGCTTCCTATCAGAGAGCTCCTTCCATCTCCAACCTATCCCACCCCGCTTCTTCAGCCCTCCAGGTCCAATGCAATGGTGCTTGGTCACACTTCCTTTCTAAAGATCCATTCATGGCTATACTGTCCCAGACAACAGTCAGTCCGGCACCGTCCAAGTCATACTCACCGTTTCCATGTGCTGCTCTGAGGTCATTTAGACCTCTGATGGGTCTGGGTGGTGATGCAGACCGTTTCACTCTCAACAGATTTGGAGCTCTTCATTTCCCTTGATTTTTTCATGTGGGGCGAGGATTATCTTTCTTGAGTGTCTTCCTGTAGCACCAGCATCCCATATGGGCGCTGGTTCTAGTACCAACTGCTCCACTTCTGATACAGCTCTCTGCTATGGCCTAGGAAAGCAGGAGAAAGTGGCCCAAGTCCTTGTGCCCCTGCACTTGTGTGGGAGCCCCAGAAGAAATTCCTGGCTCCTGGCTTCAGATCAGCCCAGCTCCAGCTGCTGCAGCAGTTTGAGGAGTGCACCAGCAAATGGAAGACCTTTCTTTCTGTCTTTCCCTCTCTCTATGTGTAGCTTACCTCTCAAAAATATAAATAAAATCTTAATACAAAAACAAAAGGCATGTAGTGAAACTCTGGGACATGTGTCCTGTCCTGCTTGGAAAACATGTATTCCCATATTGCCAAAATGAAGTAGGACATGTTGGAAATTTTGCTCTGAACAAAATGTGTATAAGAATATATACTGGGGCTGGTGCTGTGGCGTAGCTGGTAAAGATACCGCCTGCAGTTCCAGTATCCCATATGGGTGCTGATTTGTGTCCTAGCTGCTCCACTTCCCATCCAGCTCTCTCCTTGGCCTGGGAAAGCAGTAGAAGATGGCCCAAGTCCTTGGGCCCCAGCACCCATGTGGGAGACCCGGAGGAATCTCCTGGCTTCAGATCAGCACAGCTCTGGCCATTTCAGTCATCTGGGGAGTAAATCAGCAAATGGAAGTCTCCTCCCTCTCCCTCTCTCCCTGCCTCTCCTTCTCTCCCTCTCTCCCTCCCTCTCCCTCCCTCTCCCTCCCTCTCCCTCTCTCTCCCTCCCTCTCCCTCTCTCCCCCTCTCTCCCTCTCTCTCCCTCTCTCCCTCTCCCTCTCTCCCTCTCCCTCTCTCCCTGCCTCTCTGCCTTTAAAGTAAATAAATAAAACTTAAAAAAGAATATATACTTTGAGGAATTATTGAAGGATTAAATGAGAAAGTATGTTGCTAAACACAGCATGGGTACTCAGTGTCAGCTTTCTTTATTTGCTTTTTTTCTCCCTTTCTTTTCTTTTTCCTTCTTATTGGTCAATATGACAGCAGGTTTTCATATACTGTCTTTCTGGTATTTTTCAGAATCCACTGTTGGAAAATGTCAGTTTATCTCTGAGAATAAGATTTTCTGGAGCAGGAGTCTAAATGACAATGAGAAGATATCTACATATTCTTTTTAAAGTCAGTTTATGGTCATATATCTTTCATGAAAACTTGTTAATTCCATCCCCTTATCACACTGCAAGATAGAATTGATCACTTCCCTTTCTTTGTTCATACTCTTTTCTTTGCTCTTTTAAATTTTTTTAATATTTATGTGTTTATCTATTCATTTGAAAGACAAATTGAGGGAAAAAGAAAGACTCCCCAGATGGCTGCAATAGCCAGCACTGGGCCAGGCTGAAGCCAGGAACCATGAGTTCAATCCCAGTCTCCCACATGGGTAGTAGGAACTTCAGCCATCATCCACTGCCTCTGGAACACATCAGCAGGGAACTTGACTGGAAGCAGAATATCCAGGACTTGAATCAGCGCTCCAACATGGGATGTGGGTGCTCCAAATGGGGCTTAACCCTCTGTCCCACAACACCTGTCCCCTATACTCATTTATCTTTTTTTATCGGTCTCCCCTACTAGACTGTGGACTCTCTGAAGATAGAGACTATTTTTGGTTTATTTTCCATTCTACCCCTTAATAAGTGTTTTCTAAATGAATAAATGAATTTGAGAAAACAAATTGCACCTCTTCAAAATGTTCAATGGGAACCAGAAAGCTACAAGACTTCATCTGAAGAGAAACAGCAATTAGAATTAGACAGAATCATAGAACTACAAGTCCTCTCAGTAATTGTTTCGCTGTTATTTCAGACTGTGAGTTGTGATTCATTGGTCAGTAGGTCATGAAACCAATTTAGTGAATCTCATTTAGCATTCTTTTGGAATGAAATAGAATAGAAAAAAATCATGGGAATGACTACTTAGTGGGCTTGGACTTTATTTTGCAGGTTATGAAAGTGTTCTGAAATCAGACAGTGATAATGGTTGCAGAACATTGTGAAGCTACTAAAGACAACAGAACTGTACACTTTAAAATGGAGAAGGATGAGTGTTTGGCCTAGATGTTAAGACCCCAGTCAGCATGCTCACATCCCTCATCTGATTGCCTGGGTTCAATACCTGGCTGCAGCTCCAGATTCCAGCTTCCTATTGATGTGGATCCTAGAATATTGTGGAACTGGCTCCAGTAGTTGAGTTCCTGCTGCCCATGTGTTAGGGCAGGACTGAGTTCCTATCTCTCAACTTTTTCCGCCAACTCCCAGACCCCACCCTGCTACTGTGGCCATCTGGGGAATGAGCCAATAGATGAATTCATATTCTCATTCTCTCTCTCTCTCTCTCTCCTCCCCTCCCTCCCGCCCTCTCTTCTTCACTCCCTTCCTCTATATGTCTTTTTCTTTCTCTTTCCTTCTCTCTCTCTCTTTCAAATAATTAAACAAATATTGAATAAAATGGTAGATTTGACATTACATGAATTTTACCTCAATAAAAAAAAATAAATATAGAGGTAAATTCAAACATTTCCTAAGGCCACAGAGCTTACAAGTAGTACAGACAGAAAATATAAATTTACATTAACCTTAAGATAACTGTTTAGCTTTATATATTTAAATTTAAGTTTTGTTTTGACAAAATATACATAACATAAAATTTACCATTTTAACCATTTTTAATTGTCCAGTTCAGTGACATTAAGTGCATTCACATTATTGAACAACTATCACCATTCTCCATTTTTTTTTTTTTTTTGACAGGAAGAGTGGATAGAGAGAGAGACAGAGAGAAAGGTCTTCCTTTTGCCATTGGTTCACCCTCCAATGGCCGCTGCGGCCGGCACACTACGGCCGGCGCACTGCGGCCGGCGCACCGCGCTGGTCCGAAGGCAGGAGCCAGGTGCTTCTCCTGGTCTCCCATGGGGTGCAGGGCCCAAGAACCTGGGCCATCCTCCACTGTACTCCCTGGCCACAGCAGAGAGCTGGCCTGGAAGAGGGGCAACCGGGACAGAATCTGGCGCCCCGACCGGGACTAGAACCCGGTGTGCCGGCGCCGCAAGGCCGAGGATTAGCCTATTGAGCCACGGCTCCAGCGTCCACTCTCCATTCTTAAAACCTTTTTCGGGCCAACGTGGCACAGAAGGTTAATCCTCCGCCTGCAGCGCCAGCATCCCATATGGGCTCGGTTCTAGTCCTGGCTGCTCTCATCCAGCTCTCTGCTATGGCCTGCGAAAGCAGTAGAAGATGGCCCAAGTGCTTGGCCCCTGCACCTGCTTGGGAGACCAGGAAGAAGTTCCTAGCTCCTGGCTTCGGATCAGTGCAGCTCTGGCCCTAGCAGCCATTTTGGGGGTGAACCAACGGAAGGAAGACCTTCCTCTCTGTCTCTCCTTCTCAGTCTGTAACTCTACCTCTCAAATAAATAAACAAAATCTTTAAAAACAAAAATTTCATCTTCCAGAACTGAAACTCCTGCTGTAACAGAGCTTCAAATTCAACCAGAGGGAAGAGTTCAGGGCCTTCTCTCTTTCCTGCACATGTACACAGCCCTACACATGCATATGAATTTCCATATTTCCTTGAATATGTAAAGTTTTTTTCCTTGAATATGTCACAGTTTTTAAAACTCTCTGTAGACATATCATTCCCGATCTTTTCTTTGTAAACTATTTGGTTAGGTTATTGTTTGCTCCAACTGTTTTCCAGCCACAAAGTTAAACAACTCCCTCTAAATCTTTTTAAAATGTTCCTGGAAAAAAGACTTTTTGCACTGGATGATGTCTGAGTCAGGTGAAATAAGGACAACCTTGCAAATGATGTCCTCCAGGGAACACCAGATAGTTCAAATAATGACAATTCCCTGAAAATGAGGTTTGGAAGCAATTCTAGCTCCATTCTTTTTCCTTCTTATAACTATCAGGCTGCTGGTTTTCACTGTGATTGCAGGCTATTGGTTTTGTCAAAAGACAAAATTACAACAAAGTTAGTTTAGTATAAAGTAAAATCAATATTTCAATGAGCTGAGCAGAGTAGTTTGGCTTTATAGGCAGAAAAGGACTAAAGAAAGTAGTAACAGAGAACAAAAAAAGATGATTATTCACTTCAAAGTTACTTTCCATATAGTGTTAAAACAGAGGACACTTTCTTATTACCCTGACTTCAGTTGATTGGAACCGCCTAGTTTTTGGAAAATTGGTCCATTTCCAAGTTAGGTTTGATTATACAAGGCATTTACCACAGGTGACTTCATTTCATGAGACTAGTCCAAGACAATGGTCTCCCATAAACTTTGTTTTAGAAGGTTTTTATATGAATATAAAGTTCATATGTACAGCTTTTAGGAATATAGTGGTTTTTTTCACCGCTTTCCTGATGTCCCACCCCCACTCCCATCCCACCTCCTATTCCCTCTCCCACTCCATTCTTCATTAAGATTCATTTTTAATTGACTTTATACACAGAAGACCAACTCTATAGCAAGTAGATACTTCAACTGTTTGCACCCACACAGACACACAAAGTATAAAGTACAGTTTGAAGACAAGTTTTACCATTAATTCTCATAGTATACCTTATTAAGGACAGAGGTCCAACATGGGGAGTAAGTGCACAGTGACTCCTGTTTTTAATTTAACAGTTAACACTCTTATTTTGGACATCAGTGACCACCTGAGGCTCTTGACATGAGCTGCCAAGGCTATGGAAGTTGAGTCCACAAACTCAATCTGTACTTAGGCAGGTCTATATGTAAAGTGGAAGTTCTCTCCTGCCTTCAGAGAAAAGCACATCCTTCTTTGATAGCCTCTTTCTTTCACTGGGATCCTACTCACAGAGATCCTTCATGCAGAACAGTTTTTGTCACTATGCCTTGGCTTTCCATTCCTGAAATTCTCTCCTGGGATTTTCAGCCAGATCCAAATGCCTTAGGGGCTGATTCTAAGGTCAGAGTGCTGTTTAGGGCATTTGTCATCCTATGAGTCTGCTGCGTGGACTGCTTCCCATATTGGAACTTTCTCTCCTTTTTAATTCTATCTATTGTTATTACCAGACACTTGGTCTTATTTATGTGATCCCTTTGACATTACAGTTTTTAAAACTACTGCTGATCTGTAAAGATGGACACGGGAATTAGGGAATGTTAAAACTCCACAAACTCAACAGTGTTACCAATATATTTCTTCTCTTAATGCTCCCAAGATTGATTCATGCATTTTCTGTTTCTGTAATTCTGAAAAACTTGCTGACAATTTTTGCCAGTTTTCCTATTACTTTTGTAGAACAGAGAATTCTGGGAGGTTGTTACTACACCATATTTGTTGACTGTCTCCTAAATCTTTGTTTTGTTTTTTTTTTTTTTAAGATTTATTTATGTATTTTGAAAGTCAGAGTTACAGAGAGGGAAAGACAGAGATCTTGCATCCACTGGCTCATTCCCTGGATGGCTGGATCTTACATCTGCTGGTTCACTCCCCAGATGACTGCAACAGCCAGCACTGGGCCAGGTTGAAGCTAGGAGCTAGGAGCTTCATTCTTGCCTCTCACATGGGTGTCAAGGGCCCAGAAACATCATCCATCTTCTGCTGCTTTTCCCAGGCCATTAGCAGGGAGCTAGATCAGAAATGGAGCAGCTGGTACACAAAATTACTCCCACATGGGATGCTGGTATCGCAGGGAGAGACATCTGCTGATTGACTCCCAAGCTGGCCACAACATCTGGGGTGCAGCTAGGCTGAAACCAGGAGCCAGGAGTTTTATCCTGATCTTCCACACCGTGAGTGCAGGGACCCAAGCACTTGGGCCATCTTCCATTGCTCTCTCAGGCACATTAGCAGGAGCTGGACCAGAAGTCAATCATCTGGGATTCCAACCAGTACTAATGTGGTATGCTGTCATCCCAGGCAATGGCTTAACCTGCTGCACCACAGTGCTGGCACCAAACTAGCCACTTTCATCATGGAACATCATTTTTACTTGACACACTATAGTGTTATTAACACCTGAGTATTTAGCAATTATTTTATTGAAAATTAACTGAATCTTCCATTGTGAGGAAAATAATAGAATTTGATGCCAATGATAAACATCAAGCTTTCTAGTAAAATAAGAATTGGGGGTAGGCACTGTGGCTTAAGATGCTGCTTTGGACACCCACATCTCATATATGAGTACCAGCTCAAGTCCTGGCTACTCTGCTTCAAATCCAGCTCCCTGCTAGTATGCTGGGAACCAATAGATGATAGCTGAAGTAACCACACAGAGAAGATCCTAATGAGTTCCTGGCTCCTAGCTACGACCTAATCCAGCCTGGCCATTGCAGTCATTTGGAAAGTGAACCAGTAGATGATAGGTCTTTTTCTCTTTTTTCTCTGTGCCATTCTGTCTTTCAAATAAATAAATAAGTACATCTTTATAAAAAGAATTAGGGCAAATTTGTATCTATCACTATGATTTGACAGTCTCCCAAGTAGTTATGATAAGATTGAGATTGGTGATTATGTTAACAAGTATAATCTTTATCTTAAATAATGAAATATGTTAGTGTTTGGAAGATCTGCATAATTGCATGAATCAATATTTTCTGAGTGATCAATGCATTATGTTAACAAAATCACACATAGGTAAAAAATCCTACCAAGATTTGAGATAGACTAATGGATTTTGATATAAAATACATAGGCTGTTTATTGCTGTGGTTTCAGTTTTAACATTGCAACTAGGCTTACTAACTGTTGAGAAACTACTACTTCTCAGAGAATAATATCCATATTTATCTGAAAATACTACTAAAATATCCTTTTTACAACTGCTTATCTCTAGGAGGTCAGCTTTTCTTCATGTATTTCAACTAAAATAACATCACAACCAATTGAATAGAGAAGCAAATATGAGAATTTAGCTGTTATCTATTAATCCAGACATAAAAGGACACATATAAAAGTATGAGATACCAGTTATTTTATAGGAATTTTTTAAAGATTTATTTATTTATTTATTTGAAAGTCAGAGTTACACAGAGAGAAGAAAGCCAGAGAGAGGTCTTTCTTCAGATGGTTCACTCCCCAGTTGGCTGCAACGGCGGGAGCTGCGCCGATCTGAAGCCAGGAGCTTTTTCCGGGTCTCTCACATGGGTGCAGGGGCCCAAGGACTTGGGCCATCCTCCACTGCTGTCTCAGGCCATACAAGAGAGCTGGATCAGAAATGGAGCAGCTGGGTCTTGAACTGGCACCCATATGGGATGCTGGCACCCCAGGCCAGGGCATTAACCTGCTGCACCACAGCACCAGCCCCGAATATTTTATTTTTAATATATAATGAGTTTATTGTTATAAAATAGTTAACAAATCTGTCTTCTACAGTAAGTATCAAAAGTTATACTTCACATAAACAAAAGTTCTTTACTTTAAAAGTGTGAATTGAAGTCCAATTCTGAAGAGTTTGAGAACCACTATCCCAGGTTTTCTACTTAACGCCCTTACTCACCAACAAGGAACCAATGGAAAACATAAAGGGTGGCTATGGTTCAGCACCTAATTCACTTTCCTATGGTCCGTGCCAGCATGTTTTCTGTGGTTCACATCCAAAATCTGCCCATTTCTACAAGAAAGGTGATCAAAATTATTTAATCTGAAGAGAATATTTACGGTAACCTTTTCTGTTTCTTGAATAGCCATGTCTCACAGCCTCTATGCAAGGTGATTACATCTATCTGTAGATCTGCATATATACAATGAATCAGTTCTTTCCCAATATGAAAAACACATGGGAGGCAAGGAAAAGTATATTTTATTGATTGTTCCATCATTTTAAATAGTTCAGATTACCAACCATAAGTTATAAGAGTTCTGTTGAAAACAGTCTCTGTTATGTGGACGTCCAAGTAAAAAGATATCTTAACAGAATAGTCATTCTGAAAGCAATCAGATGGCTGGGTTCCTTTACACAGATGCCACTTCCCAGTACCTCCTCCCAACTTAAGCTTCTCACTTTCCAAGCTAATTTTTTTTAAAAATTACCAAAAATGTTCACTAATGGTTGTGCTGAGTCTTTCTCTAAAAATATCTTTTATTAAATACAGGAGGAGATTGGACTCATGCTGTGTTATTTCTTTTGGGACTAATGGTACATTTTCCAACTGCAGAAATTGTTTTTAAGACCGCAGAGGTATCAGATTAAACTAATGTGGTGACTACCTCAGGACAGTAGAATTTTATTCTATTTTCCTTCCAAGAATATAACTGTTAAAAATTACTACCGTTATTTATTCTTCACTTTACAATTTATTAACTGAGAGGATCAAATTTCTTTCTTCTTCCAGTTGAGTAACTTAGTGTGTATATGTGTTATCCTGTAGCAGAGACAAATATTTTTTCATTTGAGGTCTCTAAATTTTGATGCTGTTTTAATTAGGAGACCTTTGAGATTTGGATGAAGGCAGCATTTTGTCTTTTCCGATGGCCAGGCAATATTTGCAAGATCTGCCCAACCCTAAGAGCTGCAAACTCCATTCAGACGATAAGTCTAGTATTCTTTAACAACAGGGCTTTCACAGTTTGCAGCCTGTACTTTAGAGCACTCAGTGTTGAGCTTATTGCTGATCTTGAATGGTTTTGTTTTACACAGAAACAAATGGATATCAATGCTGCTATTCAAGCCTTGATTGAATCAAATGCTGCCCTACAGATGGAGGTAATATATCTGGCTTCACTTAGATTGGCATTCTCAATATACAAATTGAACAGAGAAAAATTTTTAGAGGCAAAAATGTGGATTTATCACAAAGGTTGTATTTAAAACAGACACAAAATACGAAGCTATTTCAAGAACATAGTAAATACTTTTGGTATGATTAAACAAATATATGCATAGGATGTTTTCTAAGGCAAACTTTTAAAACCAAAAAATGATACTGTTAAAGGATTTGTCTGTGAGGATTTTGGTATTATTGAAGCAAATAGTTAATAAAGTTAGCCATGCTTATTAAAATGGTATCTGTCACCACCATTTATTTATTTAAACTGATTATTCAATGTATAATTTTAAAAAACTTATACAGTAGAAATGGTGAATCTTCAAGTCTTATGTCAGCCTGAAAACTAAACTTTTAAGTGTCATCTTACCCTCTTTATTTATCATCAAGTTCAGTTAAACATATACAAATGTGTATGCTTAATGTAAACTGCTTTTACATCTTACCCCCAACTCGCTACACACAGTAGAAATACATTTTTCTTCTGCCTTGATCCATGTTGGTCATTAGGGGCTTTTTTTGCTTATTTGATTCTTATGATGACTTGGCAGAGCTACCAGAATACTGAAGTGACTTTAATCGACCACAGTGCAGAGATATTCAAAACTCTGAACTACCTTAGCAATTTACTGCACAGCATCAAGAATCCTCTTGGCACAAGAGATAACCCAGCACGAATCTGCAAAGATTTGCTCAACTGTGAACACAAAGTATCAGATGGTAAGTTCTTGGTTCCTCAAACTCTGTTGTCTAACTTCATTTCATCATTCCAGTGCATTTAAGATTTGCTGTGTATCATCCAAAATCTTAGACATTTTAATAAAACTCTGACAAAAGCCATTTTAATGTCATCAAAAACAGAATACTCTTACAAGAGGGCATACTTCTGATGCCACCGCATCTATATATATATATATATATATGTAATTTGCTTCGTGTTAAAAATTAAAATAGTTAGGACTGACCTTTGGATTAGTAAAATAACCTATCAGAACTTGGGAATTCAGGACCACTAATGTTGACAACATAAGGTCATAGAGTTCACTCTCGCTCTGTCTCTCCTCTCTCTGTAACTCTGACTCAAACATATATAAGTCTTTTTTAAAAAAAATGAAATACTATCATTTGCAACAAAATAGATATGACTGGAAACCATCACACTTAGTGAAATAAGCCAGCCTCAAAAAGACAAATACCATAGGTTCTCCCTGGTCTATAGTTACTAATAGATTACCTAAAAGGTAAACTATAGGAGTGAAATTGACACTTTAAGATATGATGATTTTTAACAGCTCTTGTCTCAACTGGAAGAGTGTTTTATTTTCTTCATACTGTTTGTTGAACTCTTTACTTAGTGTGGGGTTAATCTCATGAGTATAAAAATACTGAAAATAGGCCGGCGCCGTGGCTCACTAGGCTAATCCTCCGCCTTGTGGCGCCGGCACACCGGGTTCTAGTCCCGGTCGGGGCGCCGGATTCTGTCCCGGTTGCCCCTCTTCCAGGCCAGCTCTCTGCTGTGGCCAGGGAGTGCAGTGGAGGATGGCCCAAGTGCTTGGGCCCTGCACCCCATGGGAGACCAGGAGAAACACCTGGCTCCTGCCATCAGAACAGCACAGTGCGCTGGCCACAGCGCGCCAGCCACGCTGGCCATTGGAGGGTGAACCAACGGCAAAGGAAGACCTTTCTCTCTGTCTCTCTCTCTCACTGTCCACTCTGCCTGTCAAAAAATAAATAAATAAATAAATAAATAAAAAATACTGAAAATAGATCTTTGTAAAAAAAAAAAAGTATGAATGAGAATAGAAGAGAGAAGAGGAAGAAGGGTAGGAGTGTGGGCAGGAGGGAGGCTAAGGTAGAAAGTATCACTATGTTCCTGAATCTGTACAAATGAAATATATGAAATTTGTATACCTTAAATAAAATTTTTAAAATAAATAAAGGGGAAAAATACATAGGGGCCGGCACTGTGACACAGCAGGTTAAGCTGCTGCCTGCCATGCCAGCAACTCATATGGGTACCAGTTCAAGTCCCAGCTGTTCTGATTCTGATCCAGCTCCCTACTAATGCACCTGGAAAAGCGGCGGAAGATGTCCCAAGTGCTTGGGCCCCTGCATCCTGTGGGAAACCCAAATGAAGCTCCTGAATCCCAGCTCTCTGCTATAACCTGGGAAAATAGTAGAAGATGGACTAAGTCCTTGGGCCCCTGCACCCATGTGGGGGACCTGGAAGAAGCTCCTGGCTCCTGGCTTCAGATCAGCGCAGCTCTGGCCATTGCGGCCATCTGGGGAATGAACCAGCAGATGGAAGACCGACCTCTCTCTCTCTCTCTCTCTCTCTCTCTCTCTCTCTGCCTCTCCTTCTCTCTGTGTGTAACTCTGACTTTCAAATAAATAAATCTTTTAAAAAAAGAAAGTGATAGCAAGCCAACAAATAAAATCTTCTAAGAAAAATATCCCACAATTGCAGCAGTATGAGGTAATGGGTAATATAACATGATATAACATGATAGTAAATTCAACATGGAATGTTTTTAGAGAGAAAGTGGGGGAAATGGTCTGGAAGTAGCAATGGAGAGCAAGAAAGACACCTTTCTACCACTAGACACAAGGCTTAGGAGCTATGGCAGAACTTCAAAGGGCTGCTGGGAAGCAGTGTCCCCACTGCAAGGCCCTTTTGAGTTAGACCCTGTGGGCTCACAAAAACTATATTATGGTATAGGACTTTATGTACAGCTCACATTATCACCTGAAAGAAATTACAAAGCAACACAATGCCTGTATTCAAAACATTTCACTCCACATAACAATGAGAGTTTGCTTAATGGAAAACCTTTCATAAAAAATTGAAGGAGCTCACAGAATAGGAGAAAAGTATTTGCTTGGAAGAAAAGAGACAATGAATAAATATATGTGTTTATCCCATTAAATGAGACAGGAAGCCCACATCAGATTCTGGTGAAAAAATCCAGCAGTGGTCTCTACAAACTATACAATGTTCAGAATTCAGAGGAAACCAGACTAAGCCAGGCAGAACTCCTTCACTCCTTGCTTCAACGTTTCAATGAATTTGTGGCTCTGCAGATGTGGTCCCTGAACCAGAATTAGATTTCATTAGAATTGCAGATCCTAAAGCCCCATCCTAGCCTTAATGAATCAGCAATCCAGGGGGTGGGGCCCAGGATGTGTGCTGGGGCCCAGGATGTGTGCTTCAACGGGTGGTTTGTTGCACACACATATTTGAGAAATACTACAACAGAGGACAGTCCTTATGTTTGGAACTACCAGTTCAGCAAATAAGCACTTTGAAGGATTTGTGGAATAGTAGAGAAAAGAACACTCAAAAATGATCTGAAAGTTGAAAGAATACCAGGATGAGACACCAGTGGGGAATCTTTTTTCTTCCAGGGGCTATTTGGATATTTATAACATTGTTGCAGGCCACACAAAAATATCAACTTAAAAATTAGCCTATTTGCAAATCAATAAACAAACTGAAGAACAAAAACCAAGTGATTATTTCAATAGATGCAAAGAATGCATTTTATAAAATACAACATCCTTTTATGATGAAAACCTTAAGCAAGTTGGGTCTAGAAGGAATATTCCTCAACACAATCCAGGCAATCTATGACAAACCCACAGCCAGCATCTTATTGAATGGGGAAAGGTTGGAAGCATTCCAGTAAGATCTAGAACCAGACAGGGATGCCCACTCTCACCACTGCTATTCAATATAGTCCTGGAAGTTTTAGCCAGAGCCAATAGGCAAGAAAAAGAAATCAAAGGGATACAAATTAGAAAGGAGGAAGTCAAACTATCCTTATTTGCAGAAGACATGATTCTATATATAGCAGATCCAAAAGACTCCACTATGAGACTACTGGAACTCATAAAAGAGTTTGGTAAAGTGGCAGTATATGAAATTAACACACAAAAATCAGTAGCTTTTGTATACATAGACAATGCCATGGCTGAGAAAAAAACTTCTAAGATCAATCGCATTCACAATAACTACAAAAATAATTAAATACCTTAGAATAAATTTAACCAAGTAAGTCAAAGATCTCTATGATGAAAATTATAAAACATTAAATGAATAGGAAAGACAAAAAATGGGAAAATATTCCTTGTTCATAGATTGGAAGAATTAATATCAAAATGTCCATACTACTAAAAGCAATTTACAGATTCAATGCAATAACAATCAAAATACCAAGGACATTCTTCTCAGATCTAAAAAAAGCAATGATAAAATGCATATGGAAACACAAAAGATTCCAAATAGCTAAAGCAATCTTATACAACAAAAACATAGCCAGAGGCATCACAATACCAGATTTCCAGACATACTATAGGGAAGTTATCAAAAGAGCCTAGTACTGGCAGAAAAAGATGTGTAGATCTGTGGAATAGAATAGAAACTCCAGAAATCAATCCATGCATCTACAACCAACTTATCTTTGACAAAGAAACTAAAATCAATCCCAGGAGCAAGGACAGTCTCTTCAACAAATGGTACTGGGAAAACTGAATCTGCATGCAGAAGTATGAAGTGAGACCCCTACCTTACACCTTACATAAATCCACTAAAAGTGGTTCAAAGACCTAAATCCACAACCTGATACCATCAAATTACTAGAGAACATTGGGGAAATTCTGCAAGACATTGACATAGGCAAAGACTTCATGGAAAGGACCCCAGAAGTACAGGCAATCAAAGCCAAAATAGACTAGTGGGATTACATCATGCAAAGATGCTTCTGCCCTTCAAAAGAAACATTCAGCAAAGTAAAGAGGCTACCAACAGAATGGGAGGAAATATTTGCAAACTATGCAACTGAAAAGGGTTAATATACAGAATCTCTAAACAGCTCAAGAAACTCAACAACAAAGCAAACAATCCAGTTAAGAAATCTGCAAAAGACTTGGACGACATTTTTCAAAACAGGAAATTCAAATGGCCAACAGATACATGAAAGAATGCTTAGGATCACTAGTTGTCAGGGAAATGCAAATCAAAACCACAGTGAGGTTTCACCTTACTCCAGTTAGAATGGTTCTGATACAGAAATCAAGAAACAATAAATGCTGGTGAGGTTGTGGAGGAAAAGGTACCTTGCTCCGCTGTAGGTGGGAATGTAAACTGGTGGAGTCATTGTGGAAGACAGCATGGAGATACCTCAGAAACATGAAAATAGATCTACTCTGTAACCCAGCAATGCCACTCCTGGGAATTTACCTAAACAAAATAAAATCAGCAGATCATGGCCAAGGAGGTTAGTGCAAGATGGCCCAAGTGCTTGGGCCCCAGAAACCCACATGGCAGACAGGAAGAAGCACCCAGCTCCTGCCTTCAGATTGGTGCAGCGCCGGCCATCGCGGCCATTTGGGGAGTGAACCAATGGAAGGAAGACCTTTCTCTCTGTCTCTCTGTCTCTCTCACTGTCTATAGCTCTACCTGTCAAATAAAAAAATAAATAAAATCAGCAGATCAAAGAGTTATCTGTACCTCCATGTTCATTGCAGCTCAATTAACAATGGCTAAGATATGGAATCAAGTGAAGACTACATAAAGAAATTATGGAATATTTACACCATGGAATACTACACAGTGCTAAAAAAAATGAAATCTTGTTATTTACAACAAAATGGATACAAATGGAAACCATTATACTTAGTGAAATGAGCCAGTCCCAAAAGGACAGATACCATATCTTTTCCCTGATCTGTTTTAACTAACAGAGTACTTAAAATGTAATGTATAGGAGGAGTAAAATTGACATTTTGAGATTTGATGATCATTTACACCCCTTTTCTCTACTGTTGAGGAACAGTGTTTTTTCTTCATACTATTTGTTGAACTCTTTAATTAATGTAGGGTTAATCTTATGAATATAAAGTAAACTGAAAGTAGATCTTTGTAAAAATTAAGAGTAGGAATAGGAGAGGGAGAAGGAAGAAGGGGGGAGTGTGTGGGGGAGGGAGAGTAGAGTGGGAAGTATCACTGTGTTCCTAAATCTGTGTATATGAAATACATTAAATTTGTATACCTTAAGTAAAATCGTTAACAAAACCAGCCTGTTGCAAATTTACTGAATTTCAAGTCCCACCTGTGATTGTTGTGGCAGGCCTTTATGGTCAACAAGCCAGGTATTCCCCTCTCCTCAGAAGAATATTCATTCTGGGCTCAGAGTGAAATGAATAGGAATCTCTTCTTTACACAGGAAATGACGTTTGAAAAAAATCAAAAAACAAAAACATGTGATCATCTTGCTTTTTTAATGTAAGAAAGCAGGGCTGCCTCATTCAAAAGTTCCTATGCTCTGAACTTGGAATAAGATACTATTTCGAGGCCGGCTCCGCGGCTCACTAGGCTAATCCTCCGCCTTGCAGCGCCGACACACCGGGTTCTAGTCCCGGTCGGGGTGCCAGATTCTGTCCCGGTTGCCCCTCTTCCAGGCCAGCCCTCTGCTGTGGCCAGGGAGTGCAGTGGAGGATGGCCCAGGTGCTTGAGCCCTGCACCCCATGGGAGACCAGGAAAAGCACCTGGCTCCTGGCTCCTGCCATCGGATCAGCGCAGTGTGCCGGCCGCAGCGCGCCGGCCGTGGCGGCCATTGGAGGGTGAACCAACGGCAAAGGAAGACCTTTCTCTCTGTCTCTCTCTCACTGTCCACTCTGCCTGTCAAAAAAAAAAAAAAAGATACTATTTCGACTTTTCTAGTCTGTTTTCCAGCATAAAGATGCTAGCTCAGTGCCTTTAAGTATTTCCTGTAGTCTGACTTTAGACCCCTTTTTATCCTCCTGGGCACTTCATGAAGGCAAAGGTTGGCAGGCTTATACCAATTGTAGGGATTTCAGTTTTCCCCACTCTCAAATCTGAAGAATAAAGGACAAAACTGATGACTGTTTAATTGATTTGCTTTCTCAAAACAAAAATTATTTATATTTATTTCAATTATCAGTATTACTCATAAAGATGTATTGTTCCTGGGAGTGACAGAAATTTGTTTCAAAACAAAAATATTGATTTTAAGCTCTGTAATGATATAGAAGAGAAATTACACAAATACTATATTAACTAGCTTTTCTATTAACTATTCAGTTTGAGTTGCTGAGCTGCTGTGTGTGGTTTGAAGCAGTAAATTATGAATTGCCTTTAAATTGATAGGTATGTGAAAATATAATAGTATCAACACCAATGTTACATAATGCTTACAGCTTTTGTCCATTCACTAAATATAAATATATTTATGATCTTCCATTTTCTAACAGAAAAGACTATGATCATATATAAAGTTGATATATTTTAGCATGGCATTTAACTAACTTTGTGTTTTACTATAAATAAAGGAAAATACTGGATTGACCCAAATCTTGGATGCCCTTCAGATGCTATTGAGGTTTTCTGCAATTTCAGCGCTGGTGGCCAGACATGTTTATCTCCTGTTTCTGTGACAAAGGTATGTATTACATTTTAAAATATATGCCACTATGTTCTTTTTTTTTTTTTTTTTTTTGACAGGCAGAGGACAGTGAGAGAGAGAGACAGAGAGAAAGGTCTTCCTTTGCCATTGGTTCACCCTCCAATGGCTGCTGCGGCCGGCGCGCTGTGGCCGGCGCACCGCGCTGATCCGATGGCAGGAGCCAGGAGCCAGGAGCCAGGTGCTTTTCCTGGTCTCCCATGGGGTGCAGGGCCCAAGCACTTGGGCCATCCTCCACTGCACTCCCGGGCCACAGCAGAGAGCTGGCCTGGAAGAGGGGCAACCGGGACAGAATCCGGCGCCCCAACCGGGACTAGAACCCAGTGTGCCAGCGCCGCTAGGCGGAGGATTAGCCTAGTGAGCCGCGGCGCCGGCCGCCACTATGTTCTACAGTGTCACTAGAGGGTGATTTTTAAAATTCAATCACTTTAAATAATTATGAATTTTAAGAATAAAAGCAAGATATCATTCATTCTTTATCATGTATGAGAAAGAATTTGTTTTTAAAAATAGTTCAACAGAGTAAATCTGATATTTTGACTGTGTATTTTTTATGAGTGGATTATCTTGGCTTGATTCTACCTATCATATTTTTAAACTTCCTTAAGAATGATGCATCATATGTTACTTTTTTACCCATACACCTAGATTAGAAAATCCTTACTTGGCTACAGTGTTTGTAATCAGTAATCAGTCACCTAAAGTTATGCTGAAAATATATCACCATCACTAAAAGAAGAAATCTGCGACAAAAGCTTGCTATTTTTGGTGTTTGGACAAGAATCTATTGAATACTGTTTAAAATTTCTTTCAAGTGTATTTCTATCAATCAGATATTTATAATGTATACAAGTTAGTCTGGTATATGAACAAGTCTGCATAACACCTAAAGCCTAGTTCTACCTGCAGCATATTTTAAAACCAAAACTTCCTTTCTTCCTTTTTATCATTAGACCAGGTTGGTATATTACCGAGAATTTAATTCTCATTGACAAAGAACTAATAAATGTGCCTATTGTGTGTTTTGCCCATCATAAAAAAGCAGCCTCTAAAAGATCAGTCTCTTAGCTGCTTATTGTTAAACTGCCCTCTCCTCACAAAGCATTTCTCTTCATAAACCAGGGTGTTTCATCAAGTCATCTCAATAGGCATTCACCATCCATACCCCTGAGATGGAAGAGGGAAGGGTTCTTTTTTTACCTAGGAAAACCATGTGCCTCTAATGAAGAGAGCAGCATGGCAGCCCTACTTCCAAAATGTCCACATCACCAACCTTACTCACCTGGAAGTTGGCCCAGGATTTTTATTTTGATTATCCTAGAAACAAAGAACTTTCTTTCTATGGGGAGTGGAGAAAGTTGTACAAAAGAGGGAGGGGCCATGAGGGAGCTACACTCCAGTTCTTTCTATGAATCAGTTTTCCCATGTCTCCTGTTCATAAACTCAATCTCAGAAAGACTGGGAACATGGTGGGAAGACTTGGAATCAGGGACTTGCGTTCTAGTGCTCCTCTTTTACTAACCCAGGGAATGTAGCCAGCAGACACCAGAAGGCCTGTCCTGTGCAACCACTTTTGTTGCTTCTAATCTTCATGACAGCCCTGTCACATCCATGTTATATCCCAGCTTACCAATAAAGACATGGAGGTTCACAAAGTTAATAAGTTTCTCATTCTAATCTGCAGAATAAAAGAATTGAATTACTTAATTTCTAAACATTCCTTGTGATTATCCTTCCATGTTGTCATCCTTATGTCCTCTTTTTGCCTTTCCTCTCTTTTCCTGGGTTCGTTTTTTTTTTTTTTAAAGATTTATTTATTTATTTGAAATGCAGAATTACAGAGAGGCAGAGGCAGAGAGAGAGAGAGAGAGAGGTCTTCCATCCACTGGTTCACTCCCCAATTGGCCACAATGGCGGAGCTGCGCCAATCCAAAGCCAGGAGCCTGGAGCTTCTTCTGGGGCCCCAATGTGGGTGCAGGGGCCCAGGCACTTGGGCCATCTTCTACAGCTTTCCCAGGCCATAGCAGAAAGCTGGATTGGAAGTGGAGCAGCCAAGACTGGAACCGTACCCATATGGGATGCCAACACCACAGGTGGCAGCTTTACCTGCTATGCCACAGCACCAGCCCTTCCTGGGTTCTTTTGTTGTTATTTTATTTTCCTTCGCCATTACTTACAACTGATATTTAATTCTGTATCTGGAGACTAATATAAATTTTTCAGTGGAAATAATTTCTGTTCCCTTAATATCATGGCCATACCCTTGTTTACATGATATTAAAATAATAGTAATAATAATAACAATATCTGGAGCTATAGAAAAATCTACTTTCCTTTACAAGTCTGGAAAATCTTCAATCAGACCTCCTAACTCCAATTTTGTCCCATACTGGTCATGTTTTAAAATTAGTTAATATTTGGGCATCCCTTCAGTCATTCAGTAAACATTTATTGATGACTCCCTATATGACAGGAAATACATTGGAGCTGATAACACTTAGATTCTATCTGTGTCCTTAAAGGATCCTATAGTTAAAATTACTAAAACAAATTGTTACAAATTCTAACATATCTTTGGAAACAAATAAAGTATTTATAGACATAATTTCAGGTTTCTTATGAAGTTAAACCAAAAATATATATTGTTCTATATTATATATTGTTATATACAATTATTATATATAATGAGACTTTATAAAAATTATCTTCTTTTTTTATTATGTGTAGCAGCCTAATATGATGCTGGCATTAGTTCATATAGGAACAGGAGGTCCTATGGGTAACATTCTGCCCAACTCCTTGTTCAGTGATATCACCTTGGTTTCCTGAAGTAAGTCATGGTGAAAGTATTTCCACCATGGATTTCAGAAAATGCCATAAATCAGAGAATTTTTGCTCCACGAGACAGTTGTTGTTTAAACACTTTCAGGCACACCACAGATTGGCAATTTAAATTCCAAGAAATGGAACTTTCTCAAGGTTTCCCATCAAAGACTTGCCCAAACTATGAGTTTGTAAATTGCCACTTCTTATAACCTGCATATTGTTTCTATGACATTAGTTGGAGTTTGGTGTTGGGAAAGTCCAGATGAACTTCCTTCATTTACTGAGCTCAGAAGCTACTCATGTCATCACCATTCATTGTCTGAACACTGCAAGGTGGACAAGTACACAAACAAGTGGCCCAGGACTGCCCATTGGTTTTAAGGGATGGAATGGTCAGATCTTTGAAGAAAACACTCTACTTGAACCTAAAGTGCTTTCAGATGACTGCAAGGTAAGAAAATAGCACTTTTAGAAATGTTCAATGTGACTAACTTAAAACTAATGGACCTATACAACTAAAATATTGAGTGAGGCTTTAATTGCAAATTGCAAATGCAGAAAGAAAGTAAGTTTTCATGTTCCTAACTTGTAATCATATATCTTTCAGAATCAATCACTTGATTATATCATATCATGTCAATTTTTTTAACATTAACTTATCATTTGTGGTTTTTCCAATGTGAAACAGGTGCTAACAAATTTAATTTTATTCACCATATGAAATGATTGCATTATACTTAGATTGATGAATGGACAGGTGGAAGGATAGAAAGATGGATAGTTGGAGCATATATATAATGAGATTTCTGCCACAAATTATTACCACCGTTACTCTACAATCTCATTAGTGCTTGAAAGTTACAAAGACAAGACACTTTTGTTTCCTTTAGCCAGCTCCTACGTCTGATATAAAATATGCATATCATTGTAAATTGCTTGATCCTACTCGTATTTTAAATATAGCCCATTTTTATTAAAGTTAAATAATGACTGTTTTGAGAAATTTATAATTTAAAGCATTGTTTCATAGAGCAGGTATCGGCCAACTACAGTCCTAAGACTGAGCCTGGTCCTGGACCTGTTGTTGTAAATAAAGTTTTACTGGAACACAGCCATACCCATAAGCTGTGAAAAATATTACATCAAAGGTCAGAAGTCATTCTTAATCTCCATATTCAAACAGATCAGTATTACCAACAGATTAGTTTAACATTTACAAACCTTGCCCAGAAAGATTCGGTAACTCACTAGTACCTCTGAGACACAATCCAAACTTACCAACTCTCTTCAGCACTTGTAACAATCAGGCCACCTTTCTAGCTCAGTCTTTCACTAGCTGGTAAAAGTTATCTATTTGGGCCGGCGCAGCGGCTCACTAGGCTAATCCTCCGCCTAGCGGCGCCGGCACACCAGGTTCTAGTACCGGTTGGGGCGCCGGATTCTGTCCCGGTTGCCCCTCTTCCAGGCCAGCTCTCTGCTGTGGCCAGGGAGTGCAGTGGAGGATGGCCCAAGTGCTTGGGCCCTGCACCCCATGGGAGACCAGGAAAAGCACCTGGCTCCTGGCTCCTGCCATCGGATCAGCGCAGTGTGCCGGCCGCGGCGGCCATTGGAGGGTGAACCAACGGCAAAGGAAGACCTTTCTCTCTGTCTCTCTCTCTCACTGTCCACTCTGCCTGTCAAAAAAAAAAAAATTATCTATTTGTTATAATAATAATAATAGGGATGATAATATCAGCAACAATTCCTGATACTGTTTATTGGGGGTTTGTTATATGGCAAATGGCCTCTGTACATTATTTTCTTAATCATAAATCTATGTAACAAAAATAGTAGTCCCATTTTTTACATAGAAAGTAAAGGCAGTGCCAGCACTGTAGCATAGCAGATTAAGCTGCTGCCTGTGACACCAGTATCCCACATGGCACTGGATCCTGTCCCAGCTGCCCTAGTTTCAATCCAACTCCCTGCTAATGTGCCTGTGAAAGTAGCAGAAGATAGCCCAAGTGCTTTGGCCTCTGCAACCCACATAGGAGACCCGGATGGAGTTCAGGCTCCTGACTTCAGCCTGGCCATTGTAATCATTTAGGGAGTAAACTAGCAAGTGAAGGATCTCTCTCTCTCTCTCTCTCTCTCTCTCTCTCTCTGTAACTCTGCCTTTAAAATAAATAAAATAAATCCTTTAAAAAATAAAAAAGGGGCCAGCGCCAGGGCTCACTTGATACACTTTTATCTCATAGAATTTATCAGGAGCAAAGAGATCACACAGCAATAAGAGAAACAGACAGACCTGGAAGGAAGAAAGGAAAAAGAGAAATTACATAATTTTGATACACTTTTATCTCATAGAATTTATCAGGAGCAAAGAGATCACACAGCAATAAGAGAAACAGACAGACCTGGAAGGAAGAAAGGAAAAAGAGAAATTACATAATTGTAATTTAACTGCTCTGACTGAGGTGGTTCTGGTCATTCCCTGCTAAAGTACAAAGGCTGACACAGCTTATTCCTTTACCCAAGGAAGATGCCCTGCCCATCAAGTGAAGACAGAACATACAGTTACTACACACATGAGGAATAGTGCAGCTGTTTTATCCATATCTGAATTGTAAATAATAATAATAATAATTAAAAAAAAAAAAAACAGAAGCAGAAGCCTGGCCTTAGCCCCTGGAAGTAAAAACTCACACACACAATGCCAATATAGAGAACAGAGTGAGCTGAGGTTTCTGATTATTAAGCAATTGCTGGGCCGGTGCTTTGGCAGGTAGCAGGTAAAGCCACCACCTGCAGTGCCAGCATCCCTTATGGGGGCCAGTTCAAGTCCAGGCTGCTTCACTTCTGATCCAGCTCTCTACTATGGCCTGGGAAAGCAGTAGAAGATGGCCCAAGAATCAGCGGATGGAAGACACCTCTCTCTCTTTCTCTCTCTCTGCCTCTGCTTCTCTGTAACTCTGCCTTTCAAATAAAAAAATAAATCTTTAAAAATAAAATAATATGATTTTTACCATTTATGAAGCATTGTTCTAGGTTTTTTTCCATTTGCTATCTGTAATTTTTAAAACAAACCTGCATTGTCTGTGAAGGGCATGCTCTGCCCACAATGATTGCTGATGAAACAGTTACACATGAAAGCATTTTGTTCTTATTTACAGATTCAGGATGGCAGCTGGCATAAGGCAAAATTCCTTTTTCACACCCAGGACCCTAATCAACTTCCAGTGGTTGAAGTACAAAAACTTCCTCATCTCAAAACTGAACAAAAGTATTACATCGAAAGCAGTTCTGTATGCTTTCTCTAATGTCTCTGAATTAGTTCAGAAATCATGCTGTTGGTCAGGTAATCACTGCAGAGGGGAAAACCTAGAAAGATAATGTCAGTATGAAATGCATGGAATAAAGTCTTGGTTAAAGAATCTCAGGAAGAAAAGATTTGCTCCTAAGAAGGAGAAAAGGCATTTTTAAAGGACTATGATTGATAAAGTATTTAATTCTTTTAAAAGTTATATTGATCTGAGCTTTCTTAGAGAATTCCCTAGAACTGAAAATTAATAAACACGGAATTCTTCAGGGTATTCTATGTTTTTTGACTGCCTGAGAGCAAAGTTTCCATTAGACAGCTGGAGACGCAGAGCACTGTGGAACAGTACTGGCTAATGTTCCCAAATGTGCAATGCTTCTGTCTAAAATTACAAGCTACAGTCTAATATGTCATATTTTCTCAAACACTAAGCTGTATTCAGGTCCCCATTGGGCATATACATCTTAGCCGGTGGTACACTACCTCTTACATGTTGCCTTTTTGTGTTGCTTGGTGCTCTTTCTAAACCAAGGTGCTTGTGGCTTTCGTAGACTATTTTATTTCTTTTTTTCTCTTTGTCATTAAGAGTGTATGTACTGGTTACATCAACATATGTATTGATTGTTACTTATTTTAATTTGTTTGGTCACATACTTAATAACAAGTAAAACAATTATTTATGTGAAGTCCTTCTTTTATTTTAAAATTCTCTTGGTACATATGGAATCAAAGCCAGCACATTGTAACCAGCACATTATAACACAAGAGAATTGAAAGGTTTCTTTTGTTTCTGTTTATTTTTTAAATTGCTATAGAAAATATGATGGGCCAGCCGCATCCAGTAGTAGGTTTGGGTTAGAGATTAGGAGTTGTGATATACTGTTTTAAAAATCCATGATCATCTGGAATGATACTTTGTGTATATATATTTTGTAAAATTTTAATTCAGCAAATCTTTTGAAGTTGCTGCTGTTTTAAATTATAAAAACTTTATATTTCTGCTTTGTAGAAAGCACATATTTTTTTGAAGTATTCATTGATTTTCTTTCACTGTGCTTAAATTTAATGTGTTAGGACTTAAAGAATTTAATTTACCAGCCTTGAAGGAAACATCCAGGAAAAAAAAAAGGTCTTTTGCCTTTCAAATAGGCTTATTTAGTTCAATCTTTCCTTGTCGTCAGAGAAATGTTAGTTCAGCATTAAAAGAAAAATATTGTACCTCTTGGTATATAGAAAAGCTTGTTCATCTATTATACCGTTAGCCACAGCAAACAACACTTACCTATCTATAATAAAAATGTGCTTTAATTATTTTTGGTAGTCTTTGTTTTTCTTTTGTTATTCTTTCCTTTTTTTATGTATGATATCCCCTCTGGCATTGCCATTCTACACTAGTTATATTTACATTATTAGAAAATAATCTGCTCTATAACTATACGGAAGGATTATAGAGGCATGGGACAGAAATAAACTCTCACATATGTGGTCAAATTATTTTAAGCATGGGTGCCAACACCACCCAAAGAGGAAAGGGTGATATGGTGATATTTTCAACAACTGGTGTTTGGAAAACTGTATATCCACATGTGAAAGAATGAACCTGGGCCTTTACCTTACATCAAATACAAATGTCAACTCAAAATGTGGTCAAAGACCAAACTACAAGAGCTAAAACTGTAAAATTCTTAGAAGAAAACATGGAGAAAATCTTCATGACACTGGACTTGGCAATAATTTCTTGGGTGATACCAAAAGCACAGTCAGCAAGAGAAAAAAGAAAAACAGCTTGGATTACCTCAAAATAAAATCTTCTATGCATCAAAGTACATCATTGAGAAAGTGAAAAGGAATGGGTGTACAGCCTAGAATTGAGATGCCAGCTGCTGGCGCCGCGGCCCACTAGGCTAATCCTCCGCCTTGCGGCGCCGGCACACCGGGTTCTAGTCCAGGTCGGGGCGCCAGATTCTGTCCTGGTTGCTCCTCTTCCAGGCCAGCTCTCTGCTATGGCCAGGGAGTGCAGTGGAGGATGGCCCAAGTCCTTGGGCCCTGCACCCCATGGGAGACCAGGAGAAGCACCTGGCTCCTGCCTTCAGATCAGCGCGATGCGAAGGCCGTAGCGTGCCAGCCACGGCGGCCATTGGAGGGTGAACCGACAGCAAAAAGGAAGACTTTTCTCTCTGTGTCTCTCTCTCTCTCACTGTCTACTCTGCCTGTCAAAAAGAAATAAAAGATATTAAGGAAAGCCAGCTAAGAACCCATGTCCAACATCAGAGTTTGATTCTTACTTCCAGTTTCTGATTCCAGCTTCCTGTGAATGAAGGCCATAAAAAACAGTGGTGATGCCTCAATAATTGAGTTCTTCCCACCCACATAGGAGACCTGCACTGGGTTCTGGGCTCCCAACTTTGGCCCAACCTAAACCTAGTCACTGTGGACATTTAGGGAGTGAACCAGCAGATGGGTGATCATACCCCGACCCCATCTCTCTGCCTCTCAAATAAAAAAAAGTTCTTACAATTTTTATTTACTTATAAAGGTGAAAAAATTTCATGTATTTTGTTTTATACATATTTAGGAGCATAGTGATACTTCCCACACAAAACTTTAAAAGAAAGCAGAGGGAAGACACATGGAATGGTAGAAACTGTTTGCAAATCATATACCTGGTTTGGAATTAACATTCAGAATATGTAAGAAATACCTACAACTCAACAACAAAAACTAGAAGCAACCCAATTCAAAAATGGATAAAGGGCTTGAATAGACATTTCTCCAAAGAACTTACACAAATGTCCAGTAATTGAAAACGTACTCAAAATCACTAGCTATTAGGGAAATGTAAATCAAAACCACAGTAAAGTACTGCTTCAGTGGTACAATAGAGAATTACATTTGGTCCTTGTCCTTGAATCCTGGCAAACAGCAGCCAAAACTCCAGTCCCCGAGTGAAGTAAATTTCTGTTGCTATTTATAATGACTCCTTTTGAATCACACATGGTTTTATGCTAATGAGATGATTTAGGGTGGGGCCTCTACATGGCCTCAGAATGGGCAGGTCACCAGAATAGCCAAGTGGTTGGAGGCTTGGAATGTCCATCCCCACCTCTAAACCTCCTGGTTGTGGGAGAAGGCAGGATCTGGAGATTCAGCTGTATGAATATTCTCTTTTTTTTAATGATTATATTTAAACTTTCTCTTGACTTGAGAGGCAGCGAGTGCAAAAGAGAAAAAGAGAAAGTGATTTTCCATCTGCTGATTCTCTCCCCTAAAGGCCCTCGAGCTGAGCCAGAATGGAGCCAAGAGACCAGAGCCCAATCTAAGAGTCCCATTCAGGTGACAGGGACCCAAGTACTTGGCATCACATGGTGACTACCGAGATACACATCTAACAGGATGCTGAATCAAAGCAGAGTCCAGATTGGAACAATGCACTCTGATATGGCATGCAGGTATCCCTGTCTTACCCACTGAGCCAAATGTTTTTCCCTCAAAAAATTTTTGAATAATGATGAGGCGGGAATTTGGCAATCCGTATCAGAACACCTGGGTTCAAGTCTAAGTTCCACTTCCAACTCCAGTTTCCTGCTAATGCTCACTCTGGGAGGCAGCAGATGATGGCTCAAGCAGCTGGGTCTTTGCCACCTACATGGGAGACCTGGACTGGGTTCCAGGTCCAGGCTTTGGCCTGGCCCAGACCCAGCTGTTGGAAGCATTTGGGGAGTGATCGATCCATGAGATGAGAGAACTTTCTCTCTCGCTAGCTTTCTTGCTCTTTCTCTCTGCCTTTCAAATAAATTTTAAAATGTTTTAAAATTCTTGAACAATGAGATTCAGAGAGTTCCTGGGAAGGAGGCATAAAGCTCTGACTGCAATTCCATTCCTGCCCTGTGCGTGAGTTCTATCTTTCATAATAAACCAGGAAATGTTAAGTAAAGTGTTTTCCTGAGTTCTGCAAACCATTCTGGCAAATTCTCAACCTGAGCAGAGGATCATGGAAACCCACCATTGATAGTTCTTTTTGGTCAGAGTTATAGTGGCCTGGGACATGCAGTTGACATCTAAAGTGGGGACTAAACCTGCAAACCTGTGGACTCTGATGCTAATGCCAGGTAGTTAGTGTCAGAATTAAATTGACTTTTTGGACATTAAAGTTGGTATCTGGAGAACCAATTGTTAGTGTTGGAAAACACCACAGAACTTTATGACCATTAGGTTGACTATTATAAAATAAATAAATAAAAAAGGAAATTTACAAATATTTGTGAAGGGGTAGAGAAACTGAAAGCCTTGTACATAGCTGGTAGGAAGGTAAAGTGGTACAGCCACTGTGGAAAATATTTTAACAGTTCCTCAAAAATTTAAATATAGGGCTAGCATATCCTAGCAATTGTACTTCTAGGTATATACACAGAAGAATTGAATGCATTGCTCATAGAAGCTTTATTCACAATAGCCAAAAAGTGCAGGCCAGCGCCGCGGCTCACTTGGCTAATCCTCCACCTGTGGCGCCGGCCCCCCAGCTTCTAGTCCTGGTTGGGGCACCGGATTCTGTCCTGGTTGCTCCTCTTCCAGTCCAGCTCTCTGCTGTGGCCCGGGAAGGCAGTGGAGGATGGCCCAAGTGCTTGGGCCCTGCGCCTGCATGGAGACCAGGAGGGAGCACCTGGCTCCTGGCTTCAGATGGCCACAGTGCAGGCCGTAGTGGCCACGTGAGGGGTGAACCAACGGAAGGAAGACCTTTTGCTCTGTCTCTCTCTCTCTCATTGTCTATAACTCTCTCTGTCTCTCTCTCACTGTCTAATTCTGCCTGGCAAAAAAAAAAAAAATAGTCAAAAAGTGGAAACAACCTAAATGTTAATTAACAGACGAATGGGAAAATGTGATAGTAGATTATTCAGCCTTTAAACAGAATGAAATTATGATATATGTTATGACATGGATGAACTTTGAAAACACTGTATTAAATGAAATAAGCCAGAGACAAAAGAATATTGTTTGATTTCACTTATGTGAAGTACCAAAGATTAGACAAATTTACACAGAGAAAAAAAGTGCACTAGAGGTTACCAGAAGCTAAAGGAAGTGGTAATAAGGTGGGAATTATTTTTCAATAAATGTAGAGTTTCTGTTGAGGATGACAAAGTTTGGAGACTGGTAGTGGAAATGGGTCTACAATAATGTGAATTGTACTTAATGCCACTGAATAGTACACCTAATTGAAATGGTAGGGTCAGCTTTGTGGCACAGCAGGTTAAGCTGCTGCTAGCAGTACTGTGGATGTCTTCTTCAGAACCAGTTCCCAGCTAATGCACCTGGGAAAGGACTGGAAGATGACCCAGGTACTTGGGGCTCTGCCACCTACATGGGAGACCCAGATAGAGTTCCTGGCTCCTGGCTTTGGTCTGGCCCAGCCCTGGCTGTTGCAACCATTTGAGGAGTCAACCAGTAGATGGAATAACTCCCTGTATCTCCCTCTCTCTTTTTTAAAAATTAAAATAGCTAGGCCAGTGCTGCGGCTCAATAGGCTAATCATCCACCTGCGGCGCTGGCACACCAGGTTCTAGTCCCAGTCCGGGCGCCGGATTCTGTCCCGGTTGCCCCTCTTCCAGTCCAGCTCTCTGCTGTCGCCCAGGAGTGCAGTGGAGGATGGCCCAAGTCCTTGGGCCCTGCACCCACATGGGAGACCAGGAGGAAGCAGCTGGCTCCTGGGTTCAGATCAGCACGGTGCGCCGGCCGCGGCGGCCATTGGAGGGTGAACCAACAGAAAAAAGGAAGACCTTTCTCTCTGTCTCTCTCTCTCACTGTCCACTCTGCCTGTCAAAAATAAATAAATAAATAAAATAGCTAATGGTATGTCTATTTTGCCACAATTTTTTTCATTTTTTTAAGATTAATTTATTTGAAAGGCAGAGTTAGAGAGAAAGAGTGAGACACAGAGAGAGAGAGCTCTTCCATCTGCTGATTCACTCTGCATATGGCCAAAACAGCTGGGCCTTAGCCAGGCAAAAGCAAAGAACCTGAACTCCAGCCAGGTCCCCAGTGTGGGTGGCAGGGGCCAGGCCATCTTTGGCATTATGGAAGCCATCTTTGGCTGGAATGGAAGTGAAGCATCTGAAACTCAAACCAGCACCTATACAGGATGCTGACATCACAGGTGGCTTTTTTACTGCACTACAACTCTGGCCCCTACCACAATTTTCTAAAATGGAGTCATAGCAAAAATGTCTGATTATCTGATTGAGAAAGATGATGGTGTTTTCAAAAAGGAGCACAGAGGTTGGTTCTAAACAAAAGAACCAATACCTCATAACCTAGT